TTGCCTTATTTATTTGTTGGACGCGTCTCTGAATGTATCCGCCTGGGTCCCACCTCTGCCTTCGCTGCGCGCGCGCCCCTCGTGTTTCAGGGCTGACAGTGCCCCCACCCCGACTCCGCATGTTTGCGTCTGTTTCCTCCCTTTCTGGCCCTGTCTTCCCCCGTCACCCCGACCGACCTAGGCCACCAATCTCGGGGCAAAGAGGGGGGGTGTATATAGGAACGCGTTGCGGAGTCCCGCCCCGTCCCCAAGGGGAGGGGGCTTGTACATAATGTAACATACAGAGTATAGTGAAGAATCTATTTAAGGCGCCGCGGGGAGGGCTGCACGGCCGGGCTTGTGGTACCTGGCGAGGCGGGGGCCTCCTGCCGGCTCCACGAGCACTTTCTACTTGTGCATGGGCTTGGTTTCTACGAATTGCCATTAAACATCGCTGCACCAGCCAGCCTCCGGCTTCTGTCTGCGGGGGACGGGGCGGGACTACTGCCGGCGGGAGGCTGCGGGCTCGCGGGGATCCGGACAGCGCCGCGCCGGGGCGGGGTTGGCGCGTAGTTTCCCGCCTCCGACGTGTTTCCGGCCTTAAAGGCATTTCGCCCTTCCCTTTAAGACGCACCGCCCCCTCTCAGTCACTCCCAAGATGGCGGACCTACTGGGCTCCATCCTGAGCTCCATGGAGAAGCCACCCAGCCTTGGTGACCAGGAGACTCGGCGCAAGGCCCGAGGTGAGGACCCCAAATTCACAACCGCCTTTCTTCGCCCGGTTCTCAGGACCGCACTCCTCCCTCTTTGGACGACGCTGCCTCTTCAACCTTGAAAGACCCCTCGCGGGCCCCTTCTGAGACCCTCCGAGTCCCTAAAAGGGCTGCGGACCCGCCCGCTGCTCTTTGCGGATGGTGATTGGCTACCTGAAGCCCTGCGCCGGCCCCTGCCTCTCCCTACTTTGGCCTTCTGCAGTCCTTCTTTTCAATTCGCCGACGAGCCCGCCTGTCAGCCGGTGGCGTGCTCTGATTGGTAGGCTGCCTCCAAACCCTCGGCGTTCTCGGCCCGCCTTCGGTTCGCAGGAGGGCGTCTTGGAGCGCTCGGCCCCTCCCGCTTCCCTGCGCTCGAGTCCCTGCAACCCCATCCCCATTCCGATTGGGCCCTGGGCACGCCCATCCGCGATCCTATCACTCCTATTGGCCACTTCAACTTAAAGGTCTACCTATTAAGTCTTGTTCGACCTTCTGGTCCACCCCACCCTCAGCACCTCTAATTGGTTGCTGCATCCTTTCGGCGCCCTATGTCCGTCCTACTTCATTTAACCCGGTCCCCTCGCCGCCCTCCAACCTTCCTCTCTTCTGTACCCTTAAAATTCCCGAGCTCCCCGGGCGGGTCATGAATGTTGGTTGGAGAGATGAGAATGCCCCTGCCCCGTCCGATTGGCCAGTCTCCCCGCCTGTGTTCTCAGAGTAACTTCCCTGCAGGCGGCTCAAGTTGGGGTCCGTGCATAGGGTGCGGCCGGCCCGACGGTACCAGGCCTCTCCTGGGTTGCTGGCGCTGCGGCATGTAAATGAGTTTGGCAGAATGACTACCTTGGGGAGGACACCGACTCCCAACGCTATGGACTTTGACCGTGGTCCCGGGCGCCGGCTCCCCATCCTCCCAAGGAAGGCCAGTGCAGCCTGTGTGCCTTCAAAGTGCTCGAGTGCTGCATAATACCGAAATATAATACATATTTACTGAATGATTGCTGGGGGCCAGGGGTACCCTCAGGGAGCCCACAATCTGCAGCATTGATAAAATGCGTGTTAATGATCACACAGGGATTTAATAACAAACTTTATAAATGCTCTGAAAGAAAAGTAATTGTTATGAGAGGGGATACCTGCGAGTCCTAACCCAGTCTGCAGTGAGTTGAGATCTGAAGAACAGGTAATTCAATGAGAGGGGAGCAAAGTGCTACAGGCAGAGTTGTGTATTTGAAAGCTCTGAGGGAATTGGAATTATTTAATGCTCACTATGACTGTCCAGGTGGGGTTCACCAGTGGCCACTGACAGACTTGGAAGCTGAAGTTCAGATTTTAGTCATTTGCCTGCAGTTAACACGGTTGCTAAGTGGCAGGGTTTCAAACCCAGGTGTGACTTTTAAGCCTATGTTCTTAACCATAATCCTGTGCCACCTCCTCAGATACAGAGAGAAGACTCACAGACCAGTTAGAGAACAGTCAGTGGTCAAGATGGGATGCATTGATGGTCAGAGCCCTTGAGGTCTGAGAGAGGAGAGCTCCTGAGCTGTCAGGCCCTGGAGCCACGGAAAATAGCTGGATAGGAGGTGAACAGGGTCACTGCCTTCTCAGAGCTCATCGTGAGGCAGGGAAGACAAAAGTTACTTTAGGTTAGTTCTCAGCACGTGCTGTAGTGGGTGTCTGAACCAAATGTGCTTGGGCCCCAAAGGAAGAAGTGTGTAACTCTGACTCATGGTGGATCTCAGAGTTTGCAAGAGGAGGAAAAGCATTTAGGGCAGCAGGAACAACATGTGCAAAGACCTGGCATGAGGAGGAAAATAGGAAGAAGTTCAGTGCCGCTGAAGGGATTCAGATCCTGTGGAAGAAGTGGGTCTTAAGAATATATCGAACTTGAAATGGCAGAAAAGAGGAGAGGGGACAGTGAGACCCAAGGGTAGGGAGTTCCCCTTACACCTACACTCCCAAAGGAGAGGAATGTCAGATTAGCTATTTAAGCTTCATCCTGGCTGTAGAAGTAAGAAGTGGAGGGTGTTACAAAATAATAGGAAGTTAAATAATTTCCCCTTTCTGATGTATGTGATGAGATAATAAACTCTTTGAGGCCAGGGCTTGGTCTGTCCTCATTACCTCCCCAGGTTCCTTTGTAGTTCTTTGTATGTTGTAGGCCTTAAATAAATGTTTGCTAGCTGGCTTCCCCAGTGGGGTTGGGAGATGGGGTTGAGCATGATTCTGATCTCACTAAACTGTAAGCCCTTAAAGGGCAAAGCTGTGTCTTAATCTTCTTATACTCCAGGGCCTAGCATGGGGCCAGGTATAGAGTAAATATTAATCAGTGCTTGCCGAATGAACAGTCATGCTACCTTCCTAGCCTGACACCTCCCAGTGGACACAAGACCCCTTTGAACCCTTACAGACTCTCCCCACCCATGCTTCTACCTCATGCTGCTGTTTCTCACCCCCAGAGCAGGCTGCCCGCCTGAAGAAACTACAAGAGCAAGAGAAACAACAGAAAGTGGAGTTTCGTAAAAGGGTGAGAACAACTGGAGAGATCAAATGCAGCCTCAGGAAGGACTTCCAATCAGTTAGAATTGGACGGTTGAGGACTCAGTTTTTTTGGAAAATGTCATGAGAGAGGTGCAGCCTGGCAGCCAGTGGCACAGAGGCTGGGAAACGTGTGGGAGGGGAAGGCCCATGGGCCCCGCTGGGAAGGCAGATGTTGGGGTGGAGCCATCACCTCATATCTTCTTCCCTTTTCCCTCGACCAAGATGGAGAAAGAGGTGTCTGATTTCATCCAAGACAGTGGGCAGATCAAGAAAAAGTTTCAGCCGATGAACAAGATAGAGAGGAGCATACTGTGAGTGTTTCCAGGCCGGGGGAGGCAGAAAATAGGTGGCCAGAGTGGCCTGAGAGGGCTGGCGGGGTAGGGGGAATCCTCTTGACAAAGGCGCTAGGCCCCCTGGTGGCCCCACGTACTTTTTTCCTCCGCCCTCCCTTCTAGACACGATGTAGTGGAAGTAGCTGGCCTGACATCCTTCTCCTTCGGGGAAGACGATGAATGTCGTTATGTCATGATCTTCAAAAAGGTGAAAGGCTTGAGTTCCCCACTCTCTCCTCTCCTGTACCCCGCTAGGGGAGAACAATGAGGTAAAACATGTATGTGGAACCTTGACCCCCACCCTCCCCTTCTTCTAGGAGTTTGCACCTTCAGATGAAGAGCTGGATTCCTACCGTCGTGGTGAGGAGTGGGACCCTCAGAAGGCAGAGGAGAAACGGAAGCTGAAAGTGAGTTATGTGTGGCAGTCCTTGGGGCCTTGCGGCCCATCACGTGGGAGGGCCTGGGGTCAGGCCCTGAGCATCGGCGCCCCACCTCCACCTAGGAGCTGGCCCAGCGGCAGGAAGAGGAGGCGGCCCAGCAGGGACCTGTGGTGGTGAGCCCTGCTAGCGACTACAAGGACAAGTACAGCCACCTTATTGGCAAGGGGGCGGCCAAGGATGCAGCCCACATGCTACAGGCCAACAAGACCTACGGCTGTGGTGAGGCCCCGGTGGGGGCTGGGGAGGGCAGGGGACAGGAGCACAGCATGGGGGGAGGGGAGGCCAGGCCAGAGCACAGGACTCCTAGGCCCTCCCACCCTCCCCTCTGCCCCCAGTGCCCGTGGCCAACAAGAGGGACACACGCTCCATTGAAGAGGCCATGAATGAGATTCGAGCCAAGAAGCGTCTGCGGCAGAGCGGGGAAGAGTTGCCACCTACCTCCTAGGGACCCCAGCTCCCTGGGGCAGGGCAGGGGGCAGGGAGGGACGAGGCTGCTGCTATTAGAATCCATCCTGGAACCCCACCTCTGAACCACCTCCTAACAGCTATCGCTCAGGCTGGGGGAAGCAGGTGTTTGATTTGTCACTGTTGGAGCTTGGATATGTATGTGTGTGTGTGTGTGTTTGTGTGTGTGTGTGTGTGTGTGTCTGTGTGAATACACAGGTGGGTATTTAATCTGTATTATTCTCCATTCTCCTTGGAATTTTCTTCCCCGTGGGGCTCGGGTTACTTTACATTCAATAAACACTGTTTGACCCAATGTCTTGGTTTGTCTGAACAGAGAAAGGCGGGTCCCGGAGAGGAAGAGAAACAATTATACATTGAACAGTATAAAATTGCTTTTGTGGCCAAAGATGGCCAAACATTGGCACTTTAATAGAGCACAGTCGCTATAGCCAAATGGCCTAGCTCTGGATCCTGACTCTGCCACTTACTGTTACCTTGGGTAAGGTATTTTATCTGTGTGTCTCAGTTTCCTTAGTAAAACAGGGATAATAATGGTATCTATCTGATAGGACGTCTCAGTCTGAGATGTCAGTCTCAGGACAGGTCAGTCTCTGTCAGATATTAAGAACAGTTCCACATCCACAGAACTCCACAGAAATGGTGGCTGATCTGGTCATCACTCATCCTCAACAACCAGGAGCACTCAGACTTCGACACTGCAGTGCCCTCTGCAGACCGTGTACTTCTGCTTATGGGCAGATCTGATCCAGCTTCCCCCAGCTTCCCCCTCGTGGTGATGTCAGGCCCTCAGTCCCCTACCCTGCTCTGCTGGAGCTGGTTCAGTGTCTGTGATTTCCTCTTCAGTTTCATTTCATATGGCAACTGCTTCCCCCAGCCTCCTTCCAAAATGTGAGCATCATTGTTCTAGATGCAGCCTGATTTCCTCTCTGCCTAGTCCCTCACTCCCCTCTTGTCCCAGCGGGTTCTCCCCTCGGTCCTCCCCTGCTGCCCCCACCTCTCCACCTCCTGTCTCATCCAGCCCAGAGACCCGATCTCCTCCCTCCTACAAATGAGCAGGCCACTGCCTCAGCTGGCACCAGTGTTTATTTCAGAGGGAAGGGCTTGAAGGCCTAGGTCTCTCCTGGAGGGTGCTGGGGCCTCCAGCTTCTCACTTGGCCTTTGGGTGACGGAACTTGCGTCCAGCAAAGACAGCTTTGTTCCCGAGAGCCTCCTCAATCCTGGAAGGCAGACAAGGTCAGAGCTGTGTTATTCCAATCTGACAGGCCTCAACTCCTGCTGCCCAGACCCCCTGTGCCCACTGTACCTCATGAGCTGGTTGTATTTGGCCAGACGCTCTGAGCGGCAGGGGGCGCCAGTCTTGATCTGAGGAGGGAATAGGAATTCCAAGGGTTACATGAGGCTGGAGAGGAGGGGTTGGGCCTGGCCCTGAGGGAACAGCCTGTAGTGGCATTCATCTCTGGGACGGGAGACCAGGGACCCCAAGAAAACTCAGTCAGACATTTGGCAGAGGCGAGTCATGAGTACCTGTCCCGTGCAGAGTCCCACCACGAGGTCGGCGATGAACGTGTCCTCGGTCTCCCCGGAGCGGTGGCTCACCATCACCCCCCAACCATTAGACTGAGCCAGTTTGCAGCTGAGTGGAGAGGACACTCAATAAGGCCCAGGGGGACCTCCTCAGTGGGAAAGCCAGGAGCTGGGGGTATGGGGGGTGCTTTTCGCTTCTGTTTTGGGGAGTGGCAACTTTGTGGGGAGGGTAATGACTAAGTTCTTTGGGAAGGAGGGAAGAAGGGGCGGTTCTTGATCTTGAATTTGGGCTCTGAGATGCTGGTGGGAAGAAGCAGCATCTGGGAGAAGGGATGGTGGTGGGGGTGAGGCATGGCATGGGGTCAGGTCAAAAGTTAGTCAAGGCGTTGAGGTCAGGAGAGTGGGGTGGGTCAGGATCCAGGGGAAAGTCAGACTTGAGTTAGTGGGGAAGACTGTAGCTGGAGTGGGTCAAGCTGGGGTACAGGGAGGCACTCACGCCTGGATGGATTCGGTCACCGAGCCTATCTGGTTGACCTTCAGCAGCAGGCAGTTACAGGCCTTCTTCTCAACAGCCTGGGCAATCCTCTTGGGGTTAGTAACTGTGAGGTCATCCCCCACAATCTGGATGTTGACCCCCGAGAGGAACGAGGTCCAGGTAGCCCAGTCATCCTGGTCAAAAGGGTCCTCAATGGAGACCACTGGTGGGGGAAGGGGGCAGAGTCGGGTTAAAGGTCAGAAGAGTTTGGGTGGGGACTGCAATGGAGGTAAGGATTGGAAGGACTGAGTTGGTGGCAGTGGAGGTGCTGATGTCAGCATGTTGGGCAGTTCCTGGAGACTCAGGCAGAAGCAATAGAATAGACACCCAGGGGTCTCACCAGGATAGTTCTTGATGAAGTCCTTATACAGCTCCCCCAGCTTCTCCCCACTGATGTGCCGGGCGGGGTCATCAGGTGATTTGAAGTCGAGATCATACTTCCCGTTGCGATAGAACTCAGATGCTGCCACGTCCATGCCGATCACCACCTTGTCAGGGTAACCAGCCTTTTCGATGGCCGTCTTCAGCAGCTCCAGGGCTGGGAGAAGGCAAGAGAGCACCTGAGGCCCCAGTGCACCCCGTCGTTGCAGCCCCTCCTCTGTGGGGACTGAGGGGTTCTGCCCCTCAGGCTGACCCTGCTCACACTGACCTTCATTGTTCTCCAGGATGTTGGGTGCAAAGCCGCCCTCATCGCCCACATTGGTGGCGTCCTTCCCGTACTTGGCCTTGATGACCCCCTTGAGGTTGTGGTAGACCTCGGCACCAATGCGCATGGCTTCCCTGAAGGAGCTAGCTCCCACGGGCAGGATCATGAACTCCTGCATGGCCAGCTTGTTTCCAGCATGGGAGCCTCCATTGATCACATTGAAGGCCTGAGAAGAGAGAGGGTGCTCAGACTAGGGCCAGGTATGAGGGATTAAGAAGGGGTTGGGGGTGGTGGGTCGAGGTGGAATCCTGGCTTCCCTATTTACTGAGTGCTCTAAGATGAGTAATTTTACTCCTCAGAGCCTCTTTCCTTATTGCCATAAAATGGGGATACCACCTGCTTACCTGCATGATCTTATGCGAAAAATTTGAGAAACTGAAAGTTAAGCTCTTAGCATGTGCCTGGTATAGCTGCTAACACTGATATGACACTTACCACAGGCCAGACACTGCGCTGAGTGCTTTGCATGTATTTTGTTAGGTCGTTTCTTCCTCAAAACCACTCTAGAACTGGGTACTATTTATTACCCTCCACTTTACAGATGAGGAAACCGAGGCATAGAGTGGTTCAATAAACTTGCCTAAGATCACACAACTAGTAAAGGGGCAAAACCATGATTCACCCGGCAGCTTGTCTCCAGGGCTCATGCTCGTATACAATCTGCCTAGTAAGTAACAATAAATGGTAACATTATTACTGCGATTAAACTAAAAGGATTTCCATAAAGTGGGAATTTGGGTTAATAAGGATTAAAGAAGATACAAAAAAATGCCAAGATCCTTGCCACAAAGAAGCTCTCGATCTGATGTGGGGCAGGGACACAGGGCAGAATGAGAAGTTGGAGTTACTGAGCCTGGGATTGGAATGTGAAGGGACTGGGTTACATGGAGGGAAAGAAGCAGAGAGAGGTTAAAGGGAAGATTTGGATTGTGGGAAAGGGGGAGGGCTGGACCGCAGCAGGAGAAGTTCCATTTCAGGAAACCGTTTCTTTGCAGCTGGGTCTGGAAGGTGGACTTTTTCCAGGGGCTGCTTATGTCCTTTTCACTGGGTGGAGTCACTGTGGGATCTGGCAGGGCAGCTGCACTCACAGGGACGGGGAGGATCAGGTCTGGGTTCCCGGCGAGATCTGCGATGTGTCGGTAGAGCGGAACCCCCTTCTCGGCTGCTCCAGCCTTGCACACAGCCAAGGACACGCCCAGGATGGCATTGGCCCCAAACTTGGCTGGAGGAAGCAATTACAAAGCAAGTGTAAGAGCTCCTCCCGCAGGGTTTGGGGTCACCTCCTAGACTGTCCTCTCTGATTACCCCAGGAAGAATCCAGAACTCCAAACTACTGGGCACTGAGTTTGTTAACAGATCTCTTCCCAGCAGCCTGAGGTGTTCTGGGAGCCCCCACCCCAGGGGAATGTGTCAGCTTCACGTCTGTGTCCATGGCCTGGCCCAGGCCTGGCAGAGGGCAGGCATCAGGAAATGCCTGTGGAATGAATACAAATCCCGCCAGTTACGGTGTGCCCCAAAATGTGGGACACAGAAATAATCCTAACCAGACCTCAGCCCGCGGTCTCTCCCCAACCCCTCCTCCGCCCATCCCTTCCCCTGTGTCTGGCCCTTCACTCACACTTATTCTCTGTCCCATCCAGCTCAATCATAAATTTGTCAACTTTTTCTTGATCCACCACGCTTAGTTTCTGGAAGGGCAGGTTTAAGGAGGGGAGAGCAGAGGTTAGATTTCTCAGGCGTCAGGGTATGTGCTGGAGGAAAGAGAAATTCAGGTATTTGGGACAGACAGTATGGCTGGCCAAGCATGAGGTGCTTGGGGTGAAGCACCAGGGGTATGGGTGGGGGGTGAGGGGGAGGTGTTCTGTACTTGCCTTTTCCAGCAGCGCGGGGCCTAGAGTCTTGTTGATGTGTTCCACAGCCTTCAGTACCCCTAGAGAGGCCAAAGGAGGGGGTTCAGATCTCCTATTCAATCAGGTCTCTTCCTGTGGCCCCCAGCTCCTCAAGTCCCCTACCCGACACAGACATCATGAACCACGTCCTAAACCACCACCACACGGTCTTTTCTCACCTTTCCCCAGGTAGCGAGATTTGTCTCCATCTCTTAGTTCCAGAGCTTCATAGATCCCCGTGGAAGCTCCGCTGGGCACAGCTGCTCGGAATCGGCCTGGGGCAGGAGGTATTGGAAGTTCACAGACAGTCCCATCCACCCACAAAGGGCCGAGGTCTCCCCTCTGAGCCCAGGGACAGGAGGCAGTGCAGAAGGAGACTTGTGCTTCTCCCTGCTGGGGAGCCAGGTTGGAAGAGGAAGGACTGGGAAGAAGTCAGGGGAAGGGGATCCCAGAGAAAGGCGTGGATATGGCATGAAGTTGGAGGGCAAAGGCAGGTGGAGTTGGGGGTCTTCCCAGGCAAACCAATTCAATGGGCCTGTGTTACCCTTGGCTGTGTGCAGGTCCACCTCCACTGTGGGGTTGCCCCTGGAATCCAGGATTTCTCGGGCAAAGATTTTCTGCATAGCCATGGCTGCAGG